CCTTGAGGAGTTCTGTCGAGACGAGGGCACCCGCCAGACGTTCACACTTCCGGCCTCTCCTCAGAAAAATGGGATTGCTGAGCGTCGCATTGGCTTGATCATGGAGGTTGCTCGTACCTCCATGATCCATGCGGCTGCTCCCCATTTTCTGTGGCCGTTTGCGGTCCGATACGCTGCGCATCAGCTCAACCTCTGGCCCCGTGTCTCTGAGCCAGAGACCTCGCCCACACTCCGGTGGACGGGGAAGGTTGGCGATGCGTCGGTGTTTCGGGTCTGGGGCGCGCTCTCCCTTGTTCGAGATGCCAAAGCGAGCAAGCTCTCCTCTCGCACTCTCCGCTGTGTCTTCCTTGGCTTCCCCACCGACGCCCCGCCGTGGCAGTTCTACCACCCGCGTTCGCGTCGAGTCTTCTCCTCCCAGGACGTCACATTTGACGAGTCTGTCTATTTCTACAGGCTACACCCGCACGCGTCCCACCCAGTCCCCCTAGCGCCTCTCTTCCTGGTACCAGTCCCCCCCCCCCCCCCGGTAGACCCACTCCCCCCACAGGGTCCTTCTCCCTCAGGTGTGTCTCAGGTAGACCCACCCCCCTTGGATGAGCCTGTGGAGATCTCTTCCGACTCCTCTGGCCCAGCTGAGGGGGGTGACCCCGCCGCGGACGACACGGCGACCACTCGCCGCTCTCCTCGCTTGGAGACCCCCCCTGGTTTTCCACCGAGGCTGTCTTCGCCGCCTCAGCAGCCTGCTGCTGCTGCTGGTGACACTGGGGGTGAGGATTCTGGGGGTGCTGAGACAGGGGGTGAGGGTTCTGGGGGTGTTGCAACTGGAGGTGCTGACTCTGGGGGTGCTGCGAGTCCTAGTGACGCTGGAGCTGAGGGTGACCCGGCTGGAGGTCCTGGAGCTGGGCAGCCACAGCAGCCTGGCCTACTCGAGACGCTCTCGCCGCAGCAGATTCGTGCGTGGATCGTTCGGCGAGGCAGTCCTGGTGGTGGAGGGTACGGTGCTGCTAGTACTGGACCTGCTAGTCCTGGGGGTACTGCTGGTACTGGAGGTGCTGGAGGTACTACTGGAGGTACTGCTGGTGCTGGAGGTGTTGGAGGTACTGCTGGAGGTGCTGGAGGTGTTGCTGGTGCTGGAGGTGCTGGAGCTGCTCGTGCTGGAGGTACTGCTGGCACTGGAGGTGCTGGAGGTGCTGCTGGTGCTGGAGGTGCTGGAGCTGCTGGTGCCGGTGGTGCTGGAGGTGCTGCTAGTGCTGGAGGTCTTGGAGTTGCTGGTGCTGGAGGTGCTGCTAGTAGTGGAGGTGCTGGTGCTGGAGGAGCTGATGGTGCTGGAGCTGCTGGTGCTGGAGGTGCTGGAGCTGCTGCTGCTGGAGGTGCTGCTGGTGCTGGAGGTACTGGAGCTGCTGGTGCTGGAGCTGCTGGTGCTGGAGGTGCTGGAGCTGCTGCTGATGGAGGTGCTGGACCTGTTGGTGCGCTTCGCCACCTTCTCGGTCTTCCGCCTGCTCCTACTGAGTTCCCTGTCGCTGGTGCTTCTCCTCCGTTACTTTTCCCACCGACAGACCAGTCTCAGCCACAACTACTGCCTCACTCCCCACTACCTGCTCCTGATCCTTACACTGAGGTGACAGAGTCCCTGACCGAGCGTCGAGAGCCTCAGACTCGTGCTTCCACTCCTGAGCGTCGAGAGACTGAGACTCTGTTCCTGCTCGTGTTCGTCGTGTGCGTCGTCCTCGTGCTCCAGCTGTCCCAGGCACTCACGATATGACACTCCGTCCTTCCTCTGTTCCACAGCGTGTTGTCCTGTCGTCACCTGCTGCGTCTTCTCTTCCTGATGTTGCTGACCCTCCTTCTGACCTTGCTCGTGCTTCCAGTCCGACTGTTTCTCGCTTTCTTACTACAGTTGTGACGGAACCTACGTTCTCGTCTCCTGCTGCGTCTGCCTTAGTCGCTGAGCTTGTTGACTTTGCTGCTGCGTACCGCCTAGACTACCCTGCGAGTCTTGTTTCTGACCCTGACCCTGCCTGACCTCCGTCCGTCGGGGGTGAGGTTGCCCTTGGCTGTGACGTTCTTGAGGACAGGCAGGAGGAGCTGGAGTGCCTCGCGGTCGCTGTACCTCATCTCGCTACCATGCTGCTTACCCCTGAGGGAGACCCGGATGCACTTTACATCCCCACCCCGCGCACTTACAGAGAGGCGATCTCGGGTGAGTACTCCTCTCAGTGGCAGACAGCCATGGATGCAGAGATGGCTTCCTGGAAGTCCACATGCACCTACGTCGACGAGGTTCCCCCACCTAGGGCGAACATCGTCAGTGGCATGTGGATTTTCAGGGTGAAGCGGCCGCTGGGTTCTCCACCTGCCTTCAAGGCACGTTAAGTTGCTCGAGGCTTCAGTCAGCGTGAGGGAGTCGACTTCTTTCATACCTTCTCCCCCACCCCGAAGATGACCACTCTTTGGGTGTTGCTACACGTTGCAGCTCAGCGTGACTACGAGCTGCACTCCCTCGACTTCTCGACAACTTTCTTGCAGGGTAGCCTTCACGAGGCCATCTGGCTGCGCCGTCCACCTGGCTTCACTGTGTCGTTTCTTGAGGGTACCCAGTGGAGCCTACGGCGTCCAGTGTAGCCTGCGTCAGGCACCTCGCGAGTGGCACAACACACTGAGGACGACACTTGCGGCTCTTGGGTTTGCTCCTTCGACTGCTGAGCCGTCGCTGTTTCTGCGCACCGACACTACCCTGCCGCCGTTCTACGTTCTCGTGTACGTCGACGACTTGGTTTTTGCTACCGCTGACACGGAGGCGCTAGCCCTAGTGAAGGCGGAGCTGCAGAAGAGACACACCTGCACTGACCTGGGTGACATGCGGAGCTATCTTGGCTTGCAGATCACCCGGGACAGAGCACGGCGCACCATCACCCTGACTCAGTCACACATGGTGCACCAGGTCCTTCAGCGCTTCGGCTTCCAGTACTCCTCGCCACAGCCCACTCCTCTGTCTACCAGCCACTCGCTCTCAGCTCCACCTTCGGACGAGTGGTCCGTACCCAGAGCTTGTGGGTTGCCTCATGTACCTGATGACGTGCACACGACCTGACCTCGCGTACCCTCTCAGCCTCCTAGTTCGCTACGTGGCTCCCGATAGACACCGAAAGGTGCACTGGGATGCTGCGAAGAGTGTACTGTGTTACTTGTGCAGTACATCGGGCATGGGGCTCGTGTTTGGAGGACGGGGTTCAGTGGTACTCACAGGACACTCCAACGCTTCTTGGGCCGACGACCAAGCGACTCAGCGTTCGTCACAGGGTTACACCTTCAGTCTTGGCTCTGGTTCTGTCTCGTGGAGGTCCATTTGTTCTTCTTCTGTGCTTGGTTCCAGCTGTGAGGCTGAGATCTACGCTGGGGCCATGGCTGCACAAGAGCTACGCTGGCTGACCTACCTGCTGACCGACTTGGGGGAGCGGCCTTGTTCTCCTCCAGTTCTGTACGTCGACGACAAGGAAATGCTTGCCTTGTGTCGCGAGCAGATACCAGAGCACAGAACGAAGCACATTGCTCTTCGCTGCTTCCATGCACGTGAGCTGCAGCAGCGTCGTCAGCTCTGCCTTTCCTACGTGGCCTCGCGGGCCAACACTGCTGATGTGTTCACCAAGGCCCTTGGATCTGGTCATCATCAGCGTTTCTGCACTGCTCTTGGGCTTGTGCCCACACTGCCTCACCTGCTGGTTGCTTGACTTGCTCTTGTCGTACACTCATATATATCTTTATACTTGCTTGTTTACTCTTGCTAGGTTGTGATCAGTGTACTGCCTTGCTATTATAACTCTGCATGTGAACTGGCATTGTGGCCGCTTGCTTGTGCTCATATTGTGTGGTGTCCTTGAGATCCACCCTGAGCTTTGCCTTGCTTTGTTCACGTGCTTGACTGGTCTTGTGACCGTTCGTTGTGTTTGCTATCCCCCACTTTGCCTATGGGGGTCTGTCAAATTACATTTGTATGTGTAGGCTGTAGTGGGGTAGCCTCTACTGAGTACAACACTTTAGGTCAAACCTAGTACTTGTACTCATCCTTGCTTGCTAGTCATTCTTGCACAGTTGATTCTGACAAGCGGTCTAGGAACTACCCTAAGATCATACCATGTTGGATTAGAACAGCGGAATGAATGCACTGCACTGAATGTGGGTACAAAGAGCGAACCATAAGCCAGCCTAACCAATGTAACGCATCACTTCAACGAATATAAATGTGACAATGCCCTCGATGAAGTCGGAAATAATTGCGCACAACAGTACCAACTGTGTAAATAAGCGACACGAATTATATGTGTAAGAAGAACGTATGGCCGTGCTAGGGTTGTTGAGCCCATCGTAGTGACGTAGGTTCTTACATTATTTGGTCGTTTATCTATCCAACAGTAATTACATCTCATTTCCCATTTTTCTTCCATTTTCTCTCATCCTCTTCCTCTCTTCTTATGTCCTCCTATCATATTTCTATTTTGCCACTTCCAATCATTGTCCATTCTTCCTTGTATCCACAGTTTTTGTATATTGGTTTAATTGTCCCTTTAGAGCAATTGTATCGAAAAATACATGTTCACGCTCCTTGGCCTGTTCTTTCCTTCTAAAAACACAATTGCTTTACAACCCCGACTATCCAAAAATACCCTTCCTTATCTTGCATCTATCCTAATGTATATACCCAACATAACATCTTCTATAATAAAGTGCAACCACCTCGATCTCCATCATCATACATGTTCTCTATGAGACCAAGCTCCAACACATGTAGAGAGTTGGGAAGGTAGGTGCGGGATCTAATTATCAATCTAGCCATCATGGTTAGCAACATGCTATTGAAGAGAGTGGAGTATAGACACGCCAAACCACATCTAAAAAGTATATATGAGCATAGGCAAGCCTGCTCCAAATCTCGCCCCAATCGGATTGCCAAACCCCAGCGGACCTTTCTGATGGGCAATAACGAGGACAACACTTCTAAATCTTTAGGTCATAGCAAGGGCTGCCGCGCGGGAGCGTGAGATAGGGGCTACAGTTGCACGAAAGAGTATAGCGGGGTTTCCAGCAATGGGAAGAGCAAGAGAGATTGAAATTGAAAAGAATGTAACAAGAGAGATTGCGCCATAGGGGGCGGGCGGGGCACGGACAAGCGGGCGGGCGAGCGGCAGGTGGACGGCGGTCGCGCTCCGCCGGGGAGGGCTGGTGGGCGGTGGGTGCACGCCGCGGAGGCGGGCGAGGGCGGGCGGGGGTGAACGCCGCGGGAGACAGGTGGGCGGCGGGCCCGCATGCGCGCACCACGGGTGGGCGGCGGGGGGGCGGGCGTGCGAGGGCAGGCGAGGGCGCACGCTGCGGGGGGCAGGTAGGCGGCGGGCCCGCATGCGCGCACCACGTGCGGGCGGCGGGCGGGCGAGGGCGGGCGGGGGCACACGCAGCGGGGAGCGGGTGGGCGGCGGGCCCGCATGTGCGCGCCACAGGCGGGCGGCGGGCGGGCGAGTGCGGGCGGGGGCGCACGCCCCGGGGGGCTGGTGGGTGGCGGGCCCGCATGCACACACCATGGGCGGGCGCGCCCGCATGCACACACCATGGGCGGGCGGGCAGCGGGCCGGCGCCGCGGGGGTGGGCAGGCGGACGATGGGCCGAGCAGGCGGCGGGCGCGTGACGCGGGGGCGGGCGGGCGGCGGACGCTCGGAATCGCAGATGCAAATAGGCAGTCGGCCGCGAGGTCGGGGGCGTGGTTGAGCCTAGAAAAAAATCCGTCGGTGATCCTACATTCTATCCCTCGAGAGGATACCCAACTCAGTACTGCTCATTCGTTGCCCGTTTTACTTCCCTTCAGGGCGTAGGTGTAGGAGCGTGGCTGCAGGCGGTGCCATACGCAGACGCACTGCGCATTCCGGAGGCGCAGTGGTAGGTGGCTTCATCATGCCGTCTTGGTCTCCCTGTCCCCCAGTTAGCCCTCGCAGGTCAGTGCTCCTGTGGAGAAGCGATCGACGACATGACGGTGCATCACCACGCGGTTCGGTGTCCACGATTCGGCGTCGCCACTGTCATCCACGACACGGTGAAGTTCGCGCTTCGAGAGTTCGCTGACGAGGCGGGCTTCGCGGTGAAGGTGGAGGACTCTAGGCTGATCACACACCTGGAGGCAGCTCGAGCAATACTGCAGGGACAGCCAGTGGTGGGAGAGGGGACACGGGCTCGGGGACCGCTGGAGCAGAGGGCTGAGGCGGGACAGCCGGGCGGCGGGGCACAGTGGGGACAGCATCAGCTGCGGGGTCAGGTGGCGCGAGGGGCAGGTGGGCAGAGGGGACGACAGGGGGTGCAGACCAGCCAGGGTGGAGAGGGGGGACAGCAGAGGCAGCAGCAGGAGAGCCAGCACAGGTCGCAGGCTCAGGGCGCCGCGCCTCAGGGTGTGGGCTCGAGGGTGGGGCAGGGGCGAGGGCAGCAGAGAGCGGACGGGGGTACAGGGGGGGCAGCGGGATTGGGAGGTGAGGATCAGGGAGTGAGAGAGGCAGCAGGGGATCGAGCAGGGGGGTTGGGAGGGTTGGGGGAGGGTAGAGAGGGGGAGGGAAGAGGACAGGTGGGTGGAGGAGAGGATAGGGGGAGAGAGACGACTGGAGAGGAGGCACCGAGGGACCAGACAAGGCAGCAGCCAGCGCAGCAGCAGGGACCAGCCGGACGCACAGGCCGTGTAGGCACCTCCTCCCGCATCCCAGACCTCACTTGCCGCGACGTTGGGCAGACTATGATGATGGTTCTTGTGGATGTCTCCATAGCGGATCCACGGCGAGAGGGGAACGTGCAACTGAGACGGTCGACCCCCACACAGATTGGAGTGGCAGCAGCTAGGCGGGTGCAAGACAAGCTGCGTCACTGGGGGCCGCACCTAGAGGGGTTGCAGCCGGCACCACAGTTTTACGCGTGCGTGGCTGAGACCTTTGGCCTACTGAGCGAGCTGTTGCGTCAGTTCCTGGGGCTCTGCGCGAAGAGGATAGCACAGCGGAGGAGGGATTGGGGAGGGGGGGATGACGGATCGGCACGGATATTTGAGACAGGACTCACTACACGTCTCTCCGTGGCACTGCAGCGCACGCAGGCTCAATGCATCTTATAGCATGCGGTGCGGCAGTTGGGGGGATTCGACGACGGGTGGATGCCCGCACCCGTCCCACTGGGTGCGGGGCAGGGTACCTAGAACCACATCACAGGGTACTTCGAGAGTGTTGCCGATATGCAATACATGTATGATGCATATATGTAGAGAGTTTACAGGCTGTCCTTGAAACGCTGTGCCCGCATTGTTGTGCGGGTTGCTGTCGTGTCTGGTCCCTTGGTGCTTCCTTCTCCTTAGTCTCTTTCCTTCTCTCCTCTCCTCTTCCCACCTCCCTCTTTCTTTTCCTTACTACTTCTTTTCACTCCTTGATCTTTTCTTCTTCTTTCTTACTTCTCTTTCCTACAGACCATATATATCGTCCTCATAGAGCAGTGGTCATGCCGAAATTTCCTCCTTTTGGAAAAACACTTATATTCGGCTTGCATTTGTATTTCCCTTATCAATGAATAACTGCTCTTGCTCATCGGCGCTCGCTTCTTGACCTAGCTATTACCTACATACTATAGCATCCTAAGCATGGTGCTAAGCCTACAATTTCTGGTGGCTTAAGGACATACGAGTTAGTAATGTTGTTTATATCAATCTTCTAAGGATTTCCAACGGTTAGTTTTCCAATTACGACAACTGTTGCGCGCTGGTGAAGAGGGTCTGCGTCTTGTTGGAACCGTTCGCGAACCAGGCGAAATCGCTCGCGCCTACGTGAAGTGAACGCGTCGAGGCGAGAAAGAGGCGCGCGGAGTGTTTTCCAATGTTACATCGCCCGGGGTCGATTTCGAACCTTCCCACGCCAGTAACGCTGCTCTCGCCTTGTCCCTCCCCCTCTCTAATCTTTCCCGTTTCGCTTGCCTCTTGACATTCGACTTAGCTTCCCTTAGTTTAGACCACCACGCTAAGTCGTTTTCCTAGCTACTTCTTGTGCGCAGCTTGGATGTGAACTTACACCCGCGATCTAATTCTAAAAGCACCACTATCACCGTTTTCCTCATTGTCAAAGCCCTAATCTGCACACCTACCGCATTCCAGACCTCACCTGCCACGACGTTGAGCAGACGTTGATGGTTTTTGTGGATGTATCTATAGCGGATCCACCGCGGGAGGGGAACGTGCAACTCAGACGGTCGACCCCCATACAGATTGGAGTGGCAGCAGCTAGGCGGGTGCAGGAGAAGCTGCGTCACTGGGGGCCACACTTAGAGGGGTTGTAGCCGGCACCACAGTTTTATGCGTGCGTGGCTCAGACCTTTGGCATACTAAGCGAGCTGTTGTGTCAGTTTCTGGGGCTCTGCGCGAAGAGGATAGCACAGTGGAGGAGGGATTTGGGGGAGGGGGGGCACAGATATTTGAGACAGGGCTCATTACACGTCTCTCCGTGGCACTGCGGCACGCGCAGGCTCAGTGCATCATATAGCATGCAGTGCGGCAGTTGGGGGGATCCGACGACGGGTGGATGCCCGCACCTGTCCCATTGGGTGCGCGGCAGGGTACCTGCCACCACATCACAGGGTGCTTTGAGAGTGTTGCCGATATGCAATATATATATGATGCATATGTGTTGAGAGTTTAGTGGCTATGCTTGAAACGTTGTGCCTGCGTTGTTGTGCTGGTTGCTGCCGTGTTTGGTCCCTTTGTACTTCCTTCTCTTTAGTCTCTTTCTCTCTCTCTTCTCCTCTTCCAACCTCCCTCTTTCTTTTCCCTTCCTCTATCTATCTCTTCTCTTCCTACCACTCTATTCTATCCCCTATTACTTCTCTTCACTCCTTGATCATTTCTTCTTCTTGTTTCTTTCCCCTCTTTCTTACAAATATTTCTATACATATATATCGCCCCCATAGAAAATTAGTCATGCCAAAATTTCCTCCATTTGGAAACCCACTTGTATTCTTGTATTTCCCTCATTAATAAATACCTGCTCTTGCTCACCGGTTGTTTACTTGACCTAGATCTTACCTACCTAGCCTAGCCTTCTAATGAGTGTCATACACCTATTATTTCAAACATCCGAAGGTCTAGAGCAATAAGATATTTGTTTCGATTACAGTTATAAGGAGTTTTGACGGTTCAGTGTTACTTCCGACGGTCGAGTTCGACTAGACGGGGGTCGCAAGTTTCGCGCTCGTCCCTCTCGACTCTCGAAAACAGGATTTGCCGCATGTAGCGGGATTGGAAGTCCGACCACGCCATTGCGAGGACGTCGCGGACGCGTGCACCGGTGTAATACGAGGTGGTACGCTGGCTCACCTCTCCAACCACGCCAGTCACGGTGTTCCCACCCATCCCCCTCTCTCAACACCCTCCCACTCCCTCGCTCTAATCCTCCCGATATTTTTCCCATTCGATGTGATTAGCTAACTTCCACCCATGGTAGCTATTACTCACGATTCCCAACGTTGATAAGCAACCACCCCGTCTAGCGTCACTCTCTTACGTCTTACACTCGCGATGTAATCCCCTGGGCACCTTCTTTCCCCGTTTACACAGCATGCGATGTGGCAGTTGGGGGGATCCGACGACGGGTGGATGCCCGCACCTGTCCTACTGGGTGTGGGGCAGGGTACTTGGAGCCACATTACAGGGTGCTTTTATAGTGTCGCCGAAATGCAATACATGTATGACGCATATATGTAGAGAGTCTAGTGGCTGTGCTTAAAACAATATCCATGTGTTGTTGTGCATGTTGCTACCTTGTTTGGTCCTTTGGTATTCCCTAGTCCTCAGTCTCTTTCCTGCTCTCCTCTCCTCTTCCCACCTACCTCTATCCTTCTTTTCTCTTCCTACCACTATCTTCTTTTCCTTACCACTTCTTCTCACTTTCATTTTTTTTCCTCTCCTCTCTCTCTATTTCCTCCTATCCTCTTAATATATATATATATAAATATATATGTCGCCAACCTAGAGCAATGGTCATGCCGAAATTACCATATTTGGAACAAACTCATATATTCGGCATTTATATGTACTTCCCTTATTAATAATTAAGTGCTCTTGCTCACTCATAGGAGCTTGAGTGGCTGTGCTTGAAACGATGTGCCCGAGTTATTGTGGGGGTTGCTGCCTTGTTTGGTCATTTGTTCTCTCTTCTCCTCGGCATCTTTCCCTATCTTTTCTCCTCTTTCCACCTTCCTCTCTCTGTTCTCTTCCTCTTTACTTAGCTTCTCTTCCTACCACTCTTTCTATTCCTCCTTTTCACTCTTTGATCCTTTCTTCTTCCTCTTTCTTTCTGTTATTCCTTACCAATATGTATATGTACATATATATATATATATATATATCGTCCTCATAGAGCAGTGTTCGTGCAAAATTTTCCAATTTCAAAAAACACAGTATTATATTCGGCTTGTATTTGTATGTCCCTTATTGATAAATAATTGTTATTGCCCACTGCCACTTGCTTTCTTCACCTAACTACTACCTACTTAACATAGTCTCCGAAGCACGGTCCTAAGCCTATTATTTTTATTAACTTAAGGACTAAGTGTTGAAGACAGATGTTCTTCTTATATAGCTTTTCATCAGGGACACACGAGTTAGGAGACCGCTGGGGCACGAGGGCGAGATGGGAGTCAGGTGGGG